GGATGCGTTTGACTTGACTGCAATAAGGACAATGATTGCACTCGATGCAAAGGAGATGGTTTTCTGGTCCTTTCATATTCTCTTTGTTCCATTAGTTCTCGTTCCCGTTCATAATCAAGTTGTTCTTGAAGTTCACGCTCGCGTTTCATTCTGATTTCATATTCGCGTTTTTCTTGAAGTTCGCGTTCGCGCTTCATCTGGAACTCCCGCTCACGTTCCATTTCACGTTCCCGGAGCATACGTTCTTGTTCATGTAATTCACGTTCACGTTGATCTTGAAGTTCACGCTGCTCTTGAAGTTCACGCTCACGTTGCTCTTGAAGTTCACGCTCACGTTGTTCTTGCAGTTCACGCTCACGTTGTTCTTGCAGTTCACGTTCACGTTGTTCTTGAAGTTCACGTTCACGTTGTTCCTGGAGTTCGCGTTCTTGTTCACGCTTTATCTTGAGCTGGAGTTCTTGTTCAAGTTTGCGTTGCAATGCCAATTCCCTTTCTCGTTGTTTTTCGATTTCTATTTCATGTTGTCTTTGTAATTCTTTTTCATATTCAATTTCTTGCAACTGTTTTCTTTCCAACTCTTTTTCGCGCTCTCGTTGTTGTAATAATTCTCGCTCACGTTTTTTTCTTTCCAATTGCTCTTGCTTTTGCTTTTGCAATTCCTGCAGTTGTATTTGCTGTTGTTTAATCATATTTTCTTCATAAAGTCGTTTTTCAAACTCTTCCTTCTCTCGTTGTCGCTCTTGTTCCTCTAGTATCTTTTGTCGTTCTTCTTCTAGAACCTCACTTTCGGCTTCCTTCAATTCATCCTCCCAACCAATTATTTCACCAATTGCATCTATTGCCTTGTTATCAAAAGTATATAAAACTTCTTCAAAAATGTCTGCGTTTATCTTATGTAAATTGATCAAAAGATCACTAAGAGGCTTAAAATTTTCCGATTTTTCTTTGGTCATTGTCACCATTGGAATAAGACGATTAGCAAGTAACTTATACTTTTCCTGATCTCCTAAGAATCCTTTAACTTTCCCATCATTTTGATCCGCCTCATCTACTTTCGGTTCAATTATTTCATTGAACCAATTAAGAATTCCATTTATGACTTTACGCTTTTGGGGTGGTGTAAAACCAAAAACAGCAGCTAGTTTTCTGGGTGCCGTTCCAGAACCTCCTAGTATCAAAAGGCATTTATTAAGTGCTACTAGAGATTTTTCACTGCCAAGCTCAGATTTAATTCTAGGAAGGAAATTTTGTACAATTGCTGCCTGCTCAGGCCTCGTTTCATCACTTGCAAGCAAGAGAACTTTTGGTAATAAAATTTCAAGTTTCACGACTTTTGCCACTTCTACAAAAACATTTGGTTCCAAAAATGTCTCAAGTACCTTATTGTTCGAATCGTTTAATATATTTACTAAATGTGGACTCAAGTCATCATCAGGTGGAAGCAGTGCCTTTTTAAAATCATGAGCTCCCGGCTTTCCGGATGGTGGTTCCAACGTCCTTTTTACTACCAATTGTGCAACACTTAAAATCCCTTCAATACGTGTAGTCCATTCGCTGTGCTCTAATTGCTCAATAACTGTCAACTTACGAGGTTGGGGTTTTGGAACAGTTGTTGCGTTTGGCGACGTGGATTTATTAGGTAATAGCAATGGTGATTTTAAAGATTTCGAGGCATCTGATTTGCTCCTTGTCATCTTATGCGGAGCAGGTGACTTCGCACGTAATTTAGGAGTTGGCGTTTTTGCCGATAATCTTGAATGATCCTCCTTTGAAGCAGATTCAACACGCACAGGGTAATTATCACTCATCCCACTATCAGATGTAGCAATACTCGGAGGTCTTGTAGAGCGGGTACGCCCTCGGCTTGATGTGGTAGGTGTTGGTGGTTGTACAGGAGATGTCAAATTTATGGTTTTTGGTTTGTCGCGCTCCAATTGTTTCTTTACTGCTGGTTCAATATTCTTTAGAATTCTAAAAGGTTACGCTTTAAATTAATTGCCGGATAAAAAAAAAAAAATCCAAATATAAATTGACATACCTTTCGCCTCTTTCTATCCATATTTCGTAAAACGCCCAAAATACCTCCCGACATGTTTCTCTCACTTTAGGGTTTGCATCAGTTAAACCTTTACGTACACACTTTTCTAACATCTCCGCAGCCCCCGATCGTTCCATAACATCCTTTTTATTTTCATGCGATTTTATGACAGTCTTTACAAATCCAATTGCATACTCTCTTAGTTGCTTATTGTTATCGTCCATCGCATTCCACAATTGTGTGACCAAGCGATTATGATATGATACGTGTTGCAAAAGAGCATTTGCTGAGACAGATGCAGCCCGTGCAACAATCTTCTTTGTTGACAATACCATCTTGATAAGATTGGCCAAAATATTATCCGCAAAAGGATCAATCGCAGGGCCTAAATGTACTGCCAAGTCTTTTATAAGACCTGCACTGGCCAGGGTAAGAGTTGTACGCAGACTATTGAGCTGATGAATTTAGGTTCCAAAATGACCGTATCGAAAATTAGTTAATGTGTATATATTTAACCATAATTCAACCATGACATACCGATTTTAAAATGCCATCCATTGTCAACTTAAGCCCATTAATAAATGTTTCTTTAAAGTTCACATAGGCTTCACCTCTGACCAGACCCCTCAGCCTATTGATATTCCTTTCACGAATCAACCAATTTTGTTCGGATTCTTTCCCCTGAAAAGGCGTTAATATATTTTGAAACTCCCTTTCTAGTTCTTTGGCACTGTCCACCTAAAAAGCAGAATAATAATAAATATAAATGTTTGATGTTCACTATTTTTAATGTTACTTTAATGAAAAATTGCTCACATATAAAACACCAATTTCACTACCAGTAGAACTATTAGGTCTTGCAAAAGAATCGGCTGATTTTGGATTATCGTCATTACCCTCACCATTAACATAATCATCTTCATCCAACTCAGTTCCTGCATCTGTGTGATTGTCATGATGTTCCTCGTTCGTTGCTGTTTGGTTGCTATACACCTTTGTAAGAATATAGTCGACAATACCCAAGCGGATTGACTGCTCTTGAAGTTCTCTTTTCAAATCTGATTTTGCATGTGATGCGGCACCACTAGATAAAGTAATTTGCAATGCTGAGCGTCGCAAGTCAACATACTATATGGGAACCAAGCACGTACCTAAACAGTGAAATTATTGTGTCTTTTGCAGTTTCTCTCACATGTTCATGTGGATCCTCTAACAGTTTCACCATGTATGGTACCCATGGTCGTAAAGAAAAATCCGTGATTTTTTTTGTGCACGTCACAACCCATTGTAAAATCTTTTAACAAACGCAAAACATTAAATAATTAGAAATTTGACCATTTAAAACAATTATAATTTCAAAGATCGTTACCTGTTCTCGAACCCTCCATTGCTTGTGACCAAATGCAGAGTCTTTGATAATGGTTCCTAGAGCTGTTATAATGTTAGCACCGCCATTAATTGATGTTGCTTTATTATACATGGT